GTTCATGCAAATAATTACCATGAAAATATTTATAGAAAAGGTGAGGTAACTTTAGGGTGGCAGGAAAGTGACTGAAGCTGAACCACCAGATCAGGACCAATAATATTGCTGATTCTTCTTTGGATTTTATCAAGAAGCTCAAGGTAAATAGCAGAGATCTTGGATCATATATGGCAGCAATATTCTAAGCATGAATGAATGGTAGACTTACAGATATGTATGATAGATTCTGAAGAGAAAAATTGTCTCACATGATACAGTGAACCAACTTTCTTAGCAGCTGACCTAGCAATGGACTCGATATAGTCTTTCCACTTCATGTCAGCTAAGAAGGTTAACTTGAGAAGGTGCAATGTGTCACTTTCCTGGAGGTTAGCATCAGCCATGCTGATGGAAAGCAGAAATGGGTCTTTCAGATGATTAATGGAGAGAAGTTTAGTTTTAGAGGTGTTAAAATTAACAATATTTTCTTTTTTTTTTCCATATAATTTTCAGCTATAGTATATTAATACAGAACCAGTTCAATTATATGCTTTTTAAATCTTCTTGGTCTCCAATTCTATTTTGTATCAATGTTTTTTTCTGACAAATGGAAAATATCAGAAATTGTCTTTTATTTTAAATTAAACCCCTGCAACACATTCTCATACTCATTCAAATGAAATACTAAAAACCTATTCACCTGACTCGACTGATTTATCTGAAGGGGAAAAAATGGATCAAGTTAATCTTAATTTGACCCAACTGAAATGAAATGTATAAATATGCAGATGGAATTCTAATAAATATTAAAAGTATAAGAAAAGATTGCTACAAAATGTATTTTCATGAATTACATTTACACTTGATTACATAATGTTTTCTTTTGTACATCTCTAGTGATGTGTAATTTTGGTTTCTGCCATTTTCATCTCTTCTTTGTATTTTCCACACTTTGCAAGTTTATTTGCAACCAGCTGATATGTGTGACATGGATTTTTCTTTAAACTAATTCACAAACATTATACATTTAGTGCTAGAAAATGCTTCCAGCTATGAAATATCTTAAAAGTTCTTCCAACTGTATTTAGGAGCATAAATGCATGATTGAATCCAACAGAATATAACTAATGTGAAGATAAAAGATTATATTTCTAATGCCATGTCCTTTCAGTTTGAAGGCAATAATGGCTCTCTACATATTTCTTTTGTTATACATTAATTGCTATGACTTCTGAGAAAAGAAAGAGGAGTTGTCTGTTCCACAGTTTGAAGTTCAGAATAGCCCTATACTGGTTGCCACTCAAGGTATAGAGAGCCCAGTATATCCGGATATTTAACCCATAGGTGCAAAGAGAATTAGATTCATGCCTTTACCAAGGAAATTAGTGCAAAGTGAATGTCTCAGCTCACTGATTCTACTTTCTGCACCAATAGCCATTATGCTACCTGCACATACCACAAACTAAATAAAAAATCATACTTCTTCCTCAAATAAATATAATAATAATTAACCACTAATGAAAGTACTAAAACAAAGATAGATGTGAAAAAGAAGTTAAAAACATATCTGCCACATTAATATTTTGCTATAAAATATTTTTATCTAATTTCATAACATTTTTGGCTCAAATGAACACAGATTATATTTAAAATATCCAATAAATTTTAATATTTAGGAGTAAAAAAAAAAAAATAGATAGCAATCTGTTTCTTTTTTTCTCAACATCAAATTGAGAGAAATCTTTTTCTTCCTGATTATATATATATATATATATATATATATATATATATATATATATATATATATTATAATTAATGGATTTAAAATGTTTTTTCACTACACAGTTCTAACCATGTTTCAAAAATGGCTTCCATTTTTGAAACATGGTTAGAACTGTGTAGCAAAAAAAAATATTTTAAATCAATTAATTTATAATATTAATGCTCTGTAAATTTAAATTGAGCACTATTTTGTAAAAATAAAAATATCTATAAGAACACTGGATTATATATCTTGCTGTTCTTTCTTTTTATTTATATATATATATATATATATATATATATATATATATATATATATATATATAAAATTTTTTTAAAGGAATGGCTTTAAGAATGAAGACAAATTCATCTAAATGGATGCACATATTTAATGATGGACTCATTCATTTCAATCAGACTTTTTATAAGACTGAAGCCTGAACTATTCAGATGAAATGACATTAAAATAATTTTACAGAATCTGAGGCACAATTTTCACAGACAATTGGCATTGTAGTTCAAGAACCAAAAATATCCTCTTCATTGCTGGTAATCTTGAAATATGAATGAAAAGCACAGAAAAAATAATAAAGCACAATATCTTTTCAATGCCTACACAGAATACAAAAACTAATGATCAGAATTATGCTACCTCAAACAATTTTAGAACAATGAAGACATGCAAAAGAAAAACTGTTCCACTGCTAAGTCATTTGATTGTCACTGAATTAAATAAAATTTACTGTAAACAAATACAACTGCTGATTAAAAATCAACAAAATGATAGTAGCAATTTTGGTCAACAAATGATTAATACAGATATTAAAACAATCTTCAAATGTGTTGGGTATCCACAGATATTCTTGCATATATTTGCATAAAAAAATATTTTCTTCTACAAAGATCAGGAAACCACAAAAAGATTTATAAGAAATGTGCTTGGAAAATAATTTATTTAGTTGTTCAATATCATTTTTTAAATGCTTTCATGACAGTCATGGCTCTCCAGTTTTCCTTTCTAATATATGTAAATTTTCATGAATTCTCAAGGAAGACAGTGGAGTTGTATCCTGTTGCTTTTCCATGGTAATTCTTCTCCTAGACTAACTGCCACTCAAGACCCCAGTCTGGTCTGCTACTTGACACATAGCTAAGAAGAAAAGGGATGGATTCATAACTTTTCTAAAGGGCATTAGTACAAAAGTGAATATAACAGACTGTCAAATTTTAATCTTGGCTCACCAATTCTACTTTCCATACCAATGACAGTTATGCTGCACACACACACACACACACACATTTAATATAAATTACCGATTTTATTTTAACTTTGCATTTTTACTTGTTTTTTCTTTTAAACCAAATAAATTCTAGTATTTACATCTTTTAATCTTTAATCTGTAAATACAGAAAATAAATTTGCTGTTCATATATAACATTTCTATGTTTTAGTTGATTTTCACTTTCAAGACAAATGGCATCAGATTTACCATGGCTATAATGATCCTATAAATTGAAATACATTTAGATGACATATGATGAGTAACAATCTATTTTGTTTATACAGGATGACTGTCCAATCTTTAGAAAATGAACACCATATCCCCAATGAAAGAAGACAGCAATCAGAAAAGCTAACAACATCACCAATGAAATAAGAATAAAAATGTTTGGTAAAATCAAGAAGAAACAAAGCAATCAGTAGAGGTGAACACAATGAAATATGAATACAATATTTGGTTAAAAATTTATGAGTGAAAACTACATTCCCAATAAAATAAGAATAAAAGTTTGTTAAACCCTACAAGAAAAAAAGGCAAAGTAAAAGTTGAATCCACAAGAAAATAAAAATTTTCAGAACCCAAAAGAGAACAGGCAATCATAATACCTGATTAAACAACCAATGAAATATGAACAAGGTCTTTGGTTAGAAGAATAGAAGAGGCAAATACAAGAGCTGACCTCACCCGCTATAAATGTTTGTACCAGGTTTACATAGAAAAGAAACCAAACCCAATAAAGTCTCAAGTTTTTAAGGTCTTTTTTTTTCTTTTTAATTTGATAGTTGGAGAACAAAACTCAGAAATCCACAAAACAGTTTAGTTCATCCTTCAGTACAATAACAATATTACAGAAGTTTAATTTCATTATCTTTTATCCTTGCATACAAAGAGCATAAATAATACTTCTGTATAATTTACAGAGAAGCAAACAAGACCCAGTAAATCAGTAGTGAGAAATCAATGTTTATTTCAAACTTCTACTTTCAATATTGATTTCATTCATCAAATATGTATCTCTTTCATATCATCTAAGAAAAAAAAGGGGTCATTTATGACAGGCCAATTAAAACATTTTTATAAAATAGTTTTGTGTGTGTGTGTGTGTTTTTTTTATGTTTAAATCAAAAAGTGGAAGCTAAATATTTTCTCTGCCATTTCCACAAGAGAAATACAGAACATCAACATCTACCTCTAATTTGAATATTACTCTACTATTGATAAGGTACAACATGAATATCTACTTGAAATGCAAGAAAAGACTGATTTACATAGGAAAGATATTTAAGTAATCAATAATCTCTACTGGGAACAAACAGCCTGCATGAAGATAAAAAAAAGAAAGTTCATTGAAAACACAAAATAAAAAAGAGGAGTAAACCCTAGTTGTATTTTCTCACTGGATTCATTCAACTTATACAGCAAGATCATCTTAAGAGAACTAAAAACCCTACCAGGATTTATCATCAAAGAACATTTTTAACATATGTGGATGGAAGGGTCAAAAAAGAAACTGAAAAGAAAAACCTCTTAAACAAGGTAGTAATAGAATGAAAAGAAAACATTAAGTATTAACTGGAAGAACACAGAATGCATGGTCATCAGCAAGAGACAACCCAAATTACATACTGGGTATGTCAAAATCAAGAAGGCATAAAATTTTTTAATTACGTGAATAGTGTAGTAACAAATGACTGAGAAGGATTTGATTTATCTCTTTTCTACAGCTTATGAGCTCTTTGCAGGTTATTTAAAGCCAGATATTTTTACACTGTAAAATTTTTTTGAAGATAATGATTTAGGGATACAAGTGTTACTAATTAAACCATAGCTGGATAAGAAGTGATGGATTCATACCTTCCCCAAGGGTATTTTCACATAAGTGAGTATAATGAACCCAACTAGAATTGGAACTCAGCTTTCTGATTAAGAATTCCAAGACATTATCCATTATATCACCAACACATCCAAGTTTAGAGCACCTGGTATTCCTAAGTTGTGACCTATCTCAGTACTGACCAGGCTCGACAATGCTTAACTTTGGTGATCATATGGGAATTGGTGTTTCAACATAATATGGCCATAAGCAGACTGAAAATGAAATACAAACATTCAAAGAATATCAGAATAGTGAATAATGTCCTTTCTATATTATATTATATGTTTCCCAACAGAGTTCCATTTCCTTGGTCAAAAATAAAAGAAGCTTACATAAAAGAAAATGAAAGAATTGGTACCTGTTGGAAAGGGGAAATGGAACTTTCTACATTTTTTTTCACCATTTCAGTCCAAACAAGGTGATAAAGTCACTAAGACACAATGGGTTACTGAGTGTTAGAGAATATGAGAAAAAAACGTTCTCAAGAAAAGAGAACGCTAAAAGAACAGGAATTAAGAAGACAGAAGATAATGATTGACACTGATCTTCAAAATTTTAAATGCAAAGTAGACTGAGAAGCAAAAAGCTAGAAGAGAATTCCACAACTGAGAAGTCCAATAGAAGAAACAGTTAACATAGAACTTACAGTTACATCAAACTATTTCACAATGTAAAATGATGAGACCTTTCCATCAATCTAGTACTGCACTTAAATTCATAAAGTCTAAGTACCATAGAGAAAAGTTCACCAGAACAATTACCATGAAAGTATTTATAGAAAAGGCACAGGGAAGCTATGTTATGGCAGTGACTGAAGCAAAGATACTGGTCAGGACTTCACTAATTTGAAACTTCTTGCTTCAGTCAGAATGGCTTCTATTGAAGTTAAAACTTTAATATAACACCCATTTAGCTTGATGCCTGCTCCTCCAGTCATAGTTATTTGGTCACACTAATCTCTCTACAGGTATTTCTTTAGTGCTATAGTGTTACAGTAACCGTATAGAAAATAAGGCTAGGGGATGTCAGCTCATCCCCAAGCACCTTTGTTACATCACTTCTCCTTATGAATCTTTTAGTCTTCCCAAATGAGCAAGCTTGTCTCAGTGTCTGAGCTGCCCACTCAGGCCTGATATTTCCAACTCAAGAAGTTCTGCTGCTTTGAGTCCTCTGCAACAACCTCGTTTAGTAACTATCTACATTAAGCAGCCCTTAGGCCTTGTATTAAATGATAAATAATTTTTAAAAATAGGATTAAGATTTAGGAAAATGTCATTAGAAAAAAAATGCTAGAATATTATTTAATATTTAATCTATGGCAGTTAATTCAGGACAGTTTTCTCAAAGATGAAAAAGAGACTTTAAGTGAAAGAGATGCAGTGCTACTGATGAATGCTGAGATTATGGGCAGACAATGTGATCAACAAGGAAGTCTTAAGAAAAATAAGAACAACAAAGAAACTTATACATACAATTAGAAAGAGATAGTTGAATTTTTTATGGCATAATAAGGAAATAGGGCCTAGAGAATTTAACACTCACAGGACATACTGGCAGCAAGAAAAGCAAAGCAAAACAGTGAGTAAGCTTTTGTGAATGGATGGCAAAACAAGGATATAGCAGCATGGTAAAGGGTCAAAAGTTAATAGTAATGGACACTAAGAGATCCCCATCACTTTTATCATATAAACAATAGACCTGAGAAAGAAAGGTCAACAATAAAATGGATTAAAAAAAAAAAAAAAGGAGTGACAGTCCCAAGAATTATTAGAATGATAATGTCTGAGGTAAAAGTTACGGAAGATCACATTTTCTTTCTCTTTTTATTCCAATCAAGCAAAGATGCAGCAACATCAAATCAGACAAAAATTCAGGCTGTTTTTTTTGTCTCAACTGACACAATAAGTAAAATAAATTCAATCAATGGCAAAGAACTCAACAAGAAATAACAAAAAAGATAGCACTTGAACTTTGAATAAAAGCAGGGGCACAAAGTTCATACATACATTCCTCATCTTTGAAATCTAAAACTAATAGTCATCTAAAGGAACTGGGAATAAGTCTTTAAAAAAAAAATCTATGAAAAAAAAAAATAATAGTACATTTGTGAAGAGAAGCAACTTATCTCCGGTAGAAAGTTAAATCCAGTCAAGTAGAAATTGTAACAGGGCAGTCATATTAGCAAATGAAATATTGTTTAGTGACTTTAGGTATTAAGAGACTTAGTAATCCTGAGCAAGGGAGTAGAGATATATGAAAATATATCTATACTAGAGATATGAAATATATGGAAAAAAAGATATGAAAGAGTGGTTAATCACATTGAAACATGATGGAAAAAAAGTTTAGTTTAAAAATATTAATTAGAACCTATAAAATACCTACAAGGAAGGCATCGGGAAGATTTGAACCTCAAATAAACCAAGTAAGATTTAGTAAAATTCAGTATTAACTAAAATTCCCTAACACCACAGTACCAAGGAAGTTGTGATGACAGGATTAATGTTTGCCAAAATACTGCAAAATTCTGACAAAATTGGGAAATGTTATTTTAGTATTCCATCTAGCAGAATTATATTGAAACCTTATCAAAATATCTGGCCATGAGTACTTTAAAAGTACAAGTCACATACAATGCAAAGAGGAACTTTTTTGTTCAGGGATAAAATTAATCAACATCCCTTCTCGAACTGTTATCCTTAGAAGGACAGGCAAACACCACTTTAGGCAGTTTGCACTAGACAGTTTCTGGGACCACACTGCATCCATTTTCATTAAAATTCTAGCAGCAAGGAAGTTGGCAACATATGTATTTTAACTATTAGATATCTTTCAATGCCTCAAAGGAAGAAAAGAATTTACTGAAGTCTAATGGCGTAAGTGGAATTGTTGCAACTTTTACATTTTTTCATCATTAATAAATTTTGATAGCTTTATCAATAGAGTTTGTTCTTTCTGCTAAAAAATTCCCCACTTTTCAGGAAGGTTACCTGAATTAAAAAACTAGGATCAAGACATCACCAGGACCACAAACAAAAACCATGGCTTGTTGGAGTGAATAAGACATGCTTCATAATTCATCCCAGCAGGTAAACAATATAAAAAGGATTCCACTGGACAACACTGGTCCAGTGGAAGAGATGAACGATGAAAATAATCTATGTCCAATTCTCACATCTTTCACTGAACTGTAATCCGTGGTATCATGATTACCAGCTAAAGTTTACATTTGGCATATGGTGACCAAACTAGCAAATTATATCACATTTATGTCACATTTGATGCCATGATAACCAAAAGTAATTAAAAATTACCATTATACAATAATATCACTAAAACATCAGTTTGGACAGGAATTAATTTTAGTCTTACATAATGACAAATACAGTATAAAAAAAAAGAAAAAAATTTTAACCTATTTCTGCAACAGGGTATCTTAAAAAGAAAATCACCATAAAGCATCAACAGGCTATCACCTTACAGTAGACAAAACATACCATACAGTCAACTCATTAATATATCTCTATCTATAAAAGGCAGGATGTGTGTGTGTGTAACGAATCCACGACCACAATTTTCGATGGATTTGCACCAAAATTTACATGCACATGCTCCATGTTAGCAGGAAAGCCAAGACCAACTTTGCATTTCCCAACTTCCATCGATAGTGGAAATAATCAATTTTTTCATGCTTCTACAGCAGTTTTCATGTAGTTTGCGGCCATTTTGTACTGGCCAGAGTGAGAGCCAATAGCTGGCTGCCACAAATAGGCAGGAAGATTCTATTGGCCAGCGTGAGAGCCAACAGCTGACTGACACGATTGTTAACTAGCATGCTAAAAAAAAAAAAAAAAAAATCGATAGCTGCATTCGTCACAAGTGGGAAAAATTTAAATCTGCATGGCACTTTACTCCAATTGGCTCATTCACGTGCTTAAATTCAACGTTGATTCTGATTCCACAGAAGTGGGTTGGGTGTGAAAAAGTATTTGTCGTTAACATTTTTTTCATTCGGTTTTTCCAGTTACGAGTCCTTTTTTAAAGCTGATCGTTTTGCGTTCATTTTGTTTAGTTCTTTTTTCGTAACAGATTTAATGTTTAGTATAGAGCTTAGAAAAAAATCGCAGTGTGAGATAGGCAAAGTAAGGCATGTAGCAACATCAGCATGGCAAAGGCACTCCTTTAAAAAGGCAAGAAAAGGCAAAAATATTTTTAGTCAAGTGATAGCGATTGCTGTATGAGTCGTACAATTTTTGAATCAAGCATGGGCAACGCCAGCCATGCTGCTAGTATTATATATATATATATATATATATATATATATATATATATATATATATATATAAAAAAAAATTTATGATTCCAAAAATCGTACATATAAGATACAAAAATGCACATCTTTTTTTTTTCTCTCACTTGATATATCAAAATTCCTCCAAAAGTAATGCTTCCTATATTATTATATTAACCCACAGCATCAGAAACCGAGGTTGGGGATATAGTAGTAGAGTTTGAAGCACTGCTAATAACCAATAAATTATTTTGCCTTGTTACAGATAGGAAGTGCTAAGTGCTAAATTGGGTCTCTGACACTCACTGATAATTTTTTTATGCTTGAATACCAAGCAGTAGTAATATGTTTCAGTAGTGGTGATAGTGATATATCTAATAAACCATATTTATGAGTGTAGAATGCAGGCTCTTGTCAATCAATGATAAAAACACAACCAATAGTGTGGCGTTTGTGGAAAACTTACTCTATTCACTGGTGCTATTGCACACTCAGTATCTGTTCTAATTCCCATGGATATAAATAAGAGGCATTACTTTTGGAGCAAACCTCATATTGTATGTGTCAGGAAATGACATGAAAAGTTTGAATCTGACCAGGGTCAATTTGTTGGGAAGGTAATTTCCTCATGTTATTGCTCTGGAGAAAGTGATCCCAGCATTGGAAAATGTCTGAAAAACAACACCACAGGTTGACTCAAGCCTTGTGAGTGAAATTGGGTAGATGGAACTGTTATAGACAAGTGTATGGTTGCAAGAAAGAAATACGACAACTGTAGAAATAGATTTACGTGATTTATTTCAATAGGAATGTGTGGTTTTGGGACAGCTACCTTGTGGTATAGTTCATAGGCCGGCTGAAGATCTGGGTTGATCTCTCATAGTAGTTCTCGCTGGTTGGCATGGTGCTACTGCTG